AAAAATTAAAAATAAATGTAATATTTAAATATAAAATTAGTTTATTATTATTTAAATACAATAAGTTAATTTAAAATTTTAATAAGTTATAATGTTAATAAATAATAATTTTAATACATTATATTTATAATAAGTTAGAAATTTAATAAGTTATAATTATAATAAGTTATATTTATAATAAGTTAGAAATTTAATAAATTATAAATATAATAAATTAGTATATATTATAAATATATGTGTGTTTAAAAATATTAATAATATATACAATTAAAATAATACTTTACAAACACATTAGAAACCAATCTTTTCAACACAATATATTATTCATATGACAGAAGAACCCATCACCAAGAAATTGTAACCACCACAACTAAAGACCTGTAAATATGTAAAACATCTAAAACACACTGATATTAGTCCACGAGTATGTTTGGGCCAACTTAATTTTAACTTAACTTCTACTTATAAGTAAAAGTTGGACCAAAAACTTATTAATAAATGCCCTTAAGAAAGTAGCATAAATTTTATGAACAAATAAAAAGTAGTTTATAGAAAAGCTAGTACATGTAGCTTATATGAAACTTTCATGGAGCTTTGTTTAAAATGTCCACTTTCCGAATCTTCACATAGTACTTTTTAGGGTGTTGCTCCTTGCTATATTTTTTTCCCTTTGATTTTATTTTTCACTTTACACTACAGGTGCTTAGTTGAATTCACTGGGAGAATCTGAAAATGGTCACTCACATCCTGCTCTCCATCACCATGAGTCAGGTAAGGTTTTTTATCCTAGTCTTTGCTCTTTCCTTATATCATGGTCTTTGCTCTATCCCATTATAACAGATTACATAACGTAGGCATAGCTCTATCCATTATAACATAGTAAAATAAATGTACAAAAATAATATCCATAGGGTAACAATCACCCTAAATAAAAGCCCATATGTTCACATTCCTTAAACATTTTATCATTTGTAAACAATATTTAAATTTCTTTAATTAATATTATATGTATTATATGCAAACTAGACACTTTGTATCTCTATATATATGACATAAACATACTTGTTTATAAATTATAAGTAACAATTTATTTAAGTTAGATTGTGAGACAGTTATAATTTTATGCATAAAAAAAAATGTTATTTTTTTGCACTAGTAGTTCCATTAAGGTGAAAAACCACATTGTATCATGTGTGTAGTGGAGGTTAGTAAATGGTTGGGGGAAGTTGTGAAGTAATTTATTCACAAATTTCTCTCAACATATTCTACCCCTTATTCCTCCTTTGGCTTTCATACACTTGCAGCCTAGTAAGCCCACTCCTCTTCTAATTTAGTAACAATTTATTTATACTATTGGAAAATAATGTCACACCTATAGACAATCAAAAAAGAACGGTAAAGAACCAAAAAATAGAAATAAAAAAATATATGTATATCTTGAAACAAGAACATGGAATCAGCCAAAATATTAAATGTGGAAATTATCCAAAAAAGGAACAACATTCACTTCCAATTTCCTCACATAGACATCTTCCTATATTCATTTTCATTTACTTAAACTTTCTCAATATACCGGTGCTGAATCTGTCATATACCAATATGCATCTTCAAAAGCAAGGACTTTAACAACACATACCAATATGCAAGCTTGTTCAAAAGCAAGGACTTCAACAAGTGATTTTGCTCTACAATGCATCAAAAAGTTGGTGAGACACATGATCAAAGGAAATGATGAAAGTGCGGATTTCCATTGGAGCAAGCTCGACGTTTAGCTCTTTTGGATCAACTGGCCCTCCCCTTGAAACATGTCTATTTCCAGAAGAGCCTTCTACTTTCCATGCAAGTCTTTTTTTCTCCATCTCTGTCCTTTCTTGATTGGCAGATAAGTTCATCTCTTTCACCTCTTGGATCTAATTCAAGGAAAGCACTTAAGTTAGAAAACAAGCTAAACAAGTTTTAAAGGAGTTTTCTATCCTCTCATGAAACTAATCACTTTTTACCTTTCTCCCAGGGAAGAGCTTTTTCAACTCCACACTTGCCACCACAGAGAGATCCTTGTCTTCTTCAATCTGTGCATCAAAATGTTGGGCCAAGAGAATGAAGGAGTAAAACAAGAAGTAAATACATAATGCATTAATTACAGAAGAAAGAAAAAGACAATGAATAATAGCATGAGCGAAGAAGCTTTTTTATTTTTTATTTTTTTATCCATGAATATGATTCACGTAATTTTTAAAATTAACAACTAAGACTTAATTTGCACTCACGGAGTGTAGCTTCCATTGGTTAAGGTCAAGAAGCTAAGTACCCTTTGTTCAGAACCAAATTTTCACGGCAGGGAAATGGTTTAATCTTAAGGACCTCCAAATTCACAAGTAACAATCATCCACGACGTAATATATTTATTTGAAAAACAATTGCAATGGCAGAATCCAACCTTATAAGAAACTTGTGCAAGTTTCAGAATGGTTTTCCCCAACTCAAATAGGTTCACTAATTTATTCCGATAAAACTGCAACTATTGTTTTAGCAAAATAAAATAAAATAAAAAGCATTCCATTCATTCACTTATTAATTGTTGCATTTTAATTTTAGGACCAAGGCTTATAGTTCATTCCAGCAAAATCATCAAAGAAACATACAAACAATAGAAATAGAACCAGAAACCATTACAAATGCTCATATATAACTTCTCATTTCAAATCTTAAAGAAAAGCACATGTAACAAATACTGCATAAGAATTTAGTGGAGACCTCATATAGATGTGCCAACCGAAGGAGAACTGTCCCATCGTCAAGTTCCTGAAAATTCCAAGAAAATATATATAATTACAAGCTAAAGAGTTTCTACATAACGGAGTAATATGTTGTTAGGAAGGAACCAAGAGGTTTCAAAATTGAAGGTCTATTCTAGAAGGAAGCGAGACCATTGAGTAAATGGGTTAACAGGTTATGTGTTATGCCACAATGGGTAGAAGATTGGCTACAACAATTGGTAGTTATTTATTATCAGTAATGTGTATTAGCTTAGTTATAACAGTTAGAGGTTAGAAGAATCAGGAGGGTGAAAGGCATATAAATAAAATTGTATCCATGAATAGAGATTTATTTTGGTGATTGTAATAAAAAGGGGAATTCCTCCTTTGGCAGAGAAATATGTTCTTTGATTTTTTTTCTCTCTCTATCTCTTTCTTTCTTTCTCTTTTTTTCTCTTTCAACCCTTCTTTTGATCTTGATGGTCTCACATAACACACAAATAAAACAAGGTTTCATACCATCATTGTATTGACCATGCAATAGTCAAATGTTAGTGTTGGCCAAAAGTAATTGTCTCTAGTTAATACTGAACTAATACAATTGAAGAGAAAGGAATCCCTTTAATCTAAAGACACATATACCTGTAAGGTTATAATAGCAATATTATCAGGTAATGCGTACGAAGAATCAATTCCTGAAAATGTTAATACACGGGAATTCGTCCAGTCATCTTTATCATCCTGCAGAATGAAATAAACCTTTAGTGACCGGTACATGATATAATTACAAGTATTTCAAAATTTATCAAATAAAAGGTAGATAATATGTCCACGAGAACTACTTTTTCTTTTACAGTATTGAAATTCACCTTTTCAGCAAAGGCTAACAGAAGTGGAGAATATATTTCCTGTCCAAAAGTACGACGCCACTTTGCACCCTCACCTAAGGGATCGATTCTGTAGTAATATTTTCCTTGGACCTAAGAAATAGGCTGTGAGTTAAATATTCCAAATTGCCAAAATCTAAATCATGCAGCAGTGACATTTTCCATGCATAAATATCGGCAAAAATGCAGGCTATGCAGACATACTGCTACAACCAAATACACTAACAGCAAAAAATACACACTGCAACAAAAATTTGGTAGGAAAAATTTATTGACAACATTGGGAATAAATTCTTATCAAAACCTCACTGTAATTGAAAATTTGCTAGTTTCTTTTCATATATCAATAAAACATATTTGCAAATGCCAAATTACAACATTGACACTTTCGTCAGCTTCAGCTAAAAAGGTTTGACATTGGCTAAAATGAATGGACATTAATTTGTCAAACCTTTTCAGCCATTAGCATTAAGACCCATTTGAGAGCAATTATCAAGTTGATTATGTGATACTTTATAACTAAAATAAACATGTGACATTAATAAAAGAAACAGTGCTAACAACTAAAGGACATTATCAGTATGTAAGAAATTCTTACAGTTAGACCCCTGCAATCATCACCAACACAATCTGTTTCATTTAGAGCCTCTGCAACACCTTTTGAATCATCAAGTAGTAATCTCCTGTTGGTGACATAGAAGAAAAAGATTTAGTTAACCGTTTTAAAATGAAACTAAAATACATCAATGGAATCAAAGAGTGAAAATAGTCACCCTCAAAACAAGACATAAAAAGAGGGTGGCTGCTGGTTGCAGGGGTGGGAGGTGGTGGAAGCAATCAAAGCAATGAGGGGCCTCTTTACCATTGCATGGCCCCAATAAACCCCTTGCCCGGTCCCCCATTCTATGTCAGCAATACATAGATAGGTGCAGATGCAAATTCATGAAAACTTCAAATTGAAAAAGTAGCGTGCCATGATGGCTGCATTTTTTTGTTCATCTAAAATGCAAAAATACATAAAATCAATTGCACATTTCCTTTATAAATAACAATACTTTAACAACATTATTTTTTCAAAAAGAAAAACTATATAGTATGTTAATAAGAAATGCATCCACCAATTAAAAAATAAGTAAGAAACTAATGATGGCAAGAAGATAAACTAGTAAGAATAACATCATTTATTCATCAGAAGAAAAAATTCTGTCATTTAGCTCATATTTTTTCTTCTGATGAATAAATGATGTTATTCTTTTCAGTTTTATCTTCTTGTGATCATTTACACCAGGGAAATACTTTTCATGGTTTTGGTGAAAACTGCAGAGTAGAAAATTGTCATGTCAGGTCTGTGATGGCCTGATTTGCCAGTGGAGTGTTTTGTAACAGTTCTCCATCTGTGGGCCTTGAAGTAAGAGAACAGTTAAACTGTTAAGTGCAAAATTTTTATTTACAGGTTAAGTCCATCCACTCTGAAAACAGCAATCCAAACTCTAGTGTGCAAAAAATAGGACATGATGCATGAATTAGAGAATTCATCCTCCACCACTAACATAATGATGATGATGACACCACCAACATGCCCACGTAAATGCTGAAACAGGTAAGTTCCCTAAAAAACTTTGCATTATGCTGCACTAAAATACCAAATCACTGCCTACATTGTACATCTCAGAAATCTTGCTTTCCTTCCAAAACTTTTCGATGACTAAAGGGATTTGTCCCTTTCTATATGCTTACACACATAGCCACAGCTGCAAAAAGGCCACATGTCCAAGTAACAAGGCAATGCTAACTTCTAAAATATGAGTAATTCAATTATTATTTCAAGTAACTCCAGTACAATAGCAATCTATTTAAAGCAGCATCTGAAGAATAACACATACCTGTGAACCATCAGCTCTATTTGTCCATCTTCTAAGCTGGATCCTCCAATAGCTCTATCCACCAAAACTGAGAATTCTGTTGTATTATCCTTTATGTATATCCCAAGATTAATCTGAAGGATAAAATAAATAATCTTGTCAACCTAAAGGATGGATATAACTTCTTGTTGAATTTATGAAGTAGCTGTGCCGTAAAGCAAGCAGTCTCAATTCTAAAGTGGGGTTAGGCATACATTTTCTGTAATCCAAACCCCCTAGACCCCAAAAAAAATATATTACTTTTTGTTGTAAATAAAAATATATTAGGAGATTTGATATTATTTTAGGAGATTTAATATGATCTTTTCTTATTTCTTTTATATTTATTTATTTTCTTAGTTACTTGTTTTAGGGACAAATGTGTCTCTATAATAGGGGAAGAGAAAAATGTAATGAGAATGAAACAAATTAATAAAGATCCTCTCTTTCAACTTGGTATCAGAGCTCTTGATCTTGAGAGCTTGGTTTCTGTTGCCCTAAAAATAAATATAATCTAAGATGATACCAACATCGTGAGTCGCACGGTCAGGGACCTCCCCACAAGCTGCCATGTGCCACCACAGTCTACCCCTTTTCTTGGTGCGTGTAGGCCACGCGCCCATCTCCAACGAGACCCACTCATGGGCGACCACCCAGAATGGTTCGCTGGCGACCCCCCAAACCATTCCAAGGGGGGGTGTTGTCCAAATCCTTTCGGTTTATTGCAGATCTAAGTTCTTTGTCTCTCTCCCATTGTTTATTTTTTTGAGTTCATCCACGGGTGATGCAAATTCCCATCTCTTTCAATTGGAACGGGATATTACAACATGTAAGGTAGAGATTGATCATCTAAAAATGATGGTTGAATCTATGAGTATGCCCTCTAACTCATGTACTCTATCAATGACGAGTAAGAATACTTTCAATACTACTGGCTTCGTTTCTTAGAGAGTTTGGATTCTTGATTCTGGAGCAACAGATCACATGACTCCCTTTACTTCACTCTTTTCCTCATATTCCAAAACAAATGCCAAACAATTCATTATAGTTGCTAATAGAGATAATATGCCCATTATTGGATCTGGCGGCATTCAACTTGAGTCCTCTATTGTTTTGAATAATGTCTTACATGTCCCAAAATTGGCTAATAGTCTTATTTCCATACAAAAGTTCACTACAAACTTGAATTGTTCAGTAACATTTTATCACTCTCATTGTTCTTTTCAAGACTTGGCCACGGGGATGACGATTTTAATTACTAAAGAACAGGGTGGGTTATACTTCCTAAAGCAAGAAAGGAATGATGACAAGAACAAGGAATCTACCTCAAACCACCATGCAAAGACTAATATTTGGGTCACTTCTCAAATATGGCTTCAAAATAAGAAACTTGGACATCCTTCTTTTAGTCTTATTAAATCTTTGTTTCCACATTTGTTTACAAAAATTTCTTTTTAATCATTGAGTTTTTATTTTGTTCATTTATCTAAACACCATCTTTCTTCTTTTCCAATTAGTAGTTGTTACAGATATTTTTAATATATTACATATATTTTTTAAATAGATGTTATGGTTATTATTCTCATTATCAATTATTTATATTATTATATTATTTTCCATAATATTATATATTATTATCTTTATCATTTATTGTATTCTCTCTATAAATAAGATTGGTGTGTGTACAACAATCTACACAATTCCTGAATCACGACAATGGTAATAAGATCTCTTTCTCATTTGATTTAATTCATTTTGATGTGTGGGGACCTGTGGTGGAATCTATCTCTAGTGCTAAATGGTTTGTGACATTTATTGATGATTGTACACGAGTAACATGGACATACCTAATGAAAAACAAATTTGAGGTTGGTCAAATATTTATCAACTTCTTCCATCGTGTTAAAATTCAGTTTCGTAAGTCCATAAAATGAATAACATCTGATAATGGTACATAAAATGTGAATCATGATTTGTCTAAATTTATCATTGATAATGGTATTGTACATGAACTTACATATGTTAATACCCCTCAACAAAATGGGATTGCAGAAAGGAAGAATAGTCATCTCCTAGAAGTTACCAGAGCCTTACTCTTCCAAATGTCTATTCCTAACACTTTCTGGGAAGAAGTTGTCCTAACCTCTACCTATATCATAAACAGGTTACCCACTCAAGTCCTTAACGTTGTTAGTCCTATTGAATTGTTACAATCATTGGTTCCTTCTTCCACGTTGATGCCAAGTTTATCTTGTCATGTTTTTGGTTGTGTTGCTTTTGTCCATTCACATTGCCCTTGTTGAGGTAAACTAGATTTGAAAGCAATCAAATGTGTCTTTGTTGGTTACCCTTTAAATAAAAAACGGTACAAATGTTATCATCTTCAAAGTTGTAAATTCTTTGTTTTCATGGATGTTACCGTCAATGAAAATAAGTCCTTTTTTTGTCTGTCCTCGACTTTTGGGGGAGAAAAATTTAGAACCCAGAGACAAGTCTTTCTTAGAGTTATTACCATTTTTGTCTCTACAGGATGTCCACAATGAAAAAGAAGAAGAGCATAAGTTCTTTGGCATAAATATCAAAGGAAGAAAAAATTCACCTTAGTTCCACAACAAAAGGAATTATTGACTCAAAGGTAAGTGATCCTAAAGGTAGTTTGGAGGAAGTAAGTGTTAATGAAGATACTTATATCCCTATTTCTTTGAGGAAAGGAAAAAGATCTTGTGTTAAATATCCTATTTCACAGTATGTCTGTACTAACCACTTGTTTGCTCAAAATCAAAGTTTTATAGCTGCCATTGATTCAGTAGATATCCTAACTTCAGTCCAAGAACCTATGTGAGAAGAACATTGGGTTCTAACCATGAAAGAAGAAATGAAAACATTGGAAAAGAACTCAACATGGGAGATTGTAGATAGGCCTAGAGACAAGAAGGTTGTAGGATGCAGATAGATATTCACAGTAAAGCATAGAGCTGATGGGACAGTAGAAAGATACAAAACAAGATTGGTAGCAAAGGGATACACACATACTTATGAGATAGATTATGGAGACATTTGCACCAATGGCAAAGACGAATACAGTATGAGTTATATTTTCCCTTGCAGCTCATTTTGGTTAGGACTTGCAATAGTTTGATTAAAGAATGCTTTCTTGCATGGAGATTTAGAACAAAAAGTTTACATGGAAATCTCCCCTAGATTTGGAGCTTCAGCTGAAGAAAATAAAGTATGTAGACTAAAAAAGGCCTTGTATGGACTTAAGCAATCTCCACAAGCATGTTTTGGGAGATTTACCTAGACAATGATTTCTTTAGGATACAAACAAAGTCAAGAGGATCATACTTTGTTTATAAAACATTTCCCTAATGATAAATTGACAATACTTTTAGTCTATGTAGACGATATGATCATTACAGGTGATGATGAAGAAGAAAAATTGACCCTATAAAAAAATTGGCAACACAATTTAAGATGAAAGACACAGGAAAATTAAAGTATTTCTTGGGAATTGAAGTTACTTATTCTAAGAAGGGCATATTTATCTCTCAAAGAAAATATGTTCTTGATCTTCTTAAAGAAATAAGGAAGTTGGGATGCAGGACCTCAAGAGTTCCAATTGAACAAAATCATAGAATTGGAAGTGTTGAAAGTCCACCAATGGAAAAATATCAATATAAAAAATTGGTAGGGAAACTAATTTACCTATTACACACTAGGCCAGACATTGCTTATGCTGAGTGTTGTTAGTCAACTCATGCATGAACCCTATCAAAGACATATGCAGGTAGTTGATAGGATCCTTCAGTACTTGAAGTCAAGTCCAGGGAAGTGATTACTATTTAAAAGAGGAGACACCATGTCTATGGAAATATATACTAATGCAGATTACGCAGGGTCAGTTACAGATAGGAGATCTACTTTTGGATATTGCATGTTCTTGGGGGGAAATTTGGTGACTTGGAGGACAATCTACACAATTCCTGAATCAAAGAGAAGTTGGACAACGGTCTTATTGTTACAGCTCATGTCCCTACAGGACTTCAAGTGGAAGATGTATTCACTAGGGGACTACCTACTAACAGATTTCAAGAGTTGATAGGCAAGTTGGGAATGATTGATATTCATTTACCAACTTGAGGGGGAGTGTTGTAAATAAAAATATCTTAGGAGATTTGATATTATTTTAGGAGATTTGATATGATCTTTTCTTATTTCTTTTATATTTATTTATTTTCATAGTTACCTATTTTAGGGACAAATATATCTCTATAATAGGAGAAGAGAAGAATGTAATGAGAATGAAAAAAATGAATAAAGATCCTCTCTTTCAACTCTTTTCCTATTGAAAAGAAAAGAACATAGGTAAAGGAAGAGGATTTGCATGTGTATAGCTTAATAAGCTCATGAAATGAAAGATTTCTTTTAGAAGTTGAGCTTAGGGCTTAACTCAACTCTACAAAAACAGCATGTGAGATGAGAACTATCCAAGTTTTGCAAGATCAATAAGTTATATGACTCATCTCTAGCTGATGTGGAACTAAACACACCCCATCGAAGCTACAATTAAGGCAGGCAAGGGATGACTATAATCAAGGTACCTTTCCAACACACCCTCACCCACCAAAGGCTATGTACCTAATATAGGTGCCCCAACAACAGATCTAGAATAAGCTCTAGCACCATATTAAAATTTGAGCTTAGAGCCTAATTTAATCCCACAAAACTGACTAGTAAGATGCAGATTTCTCAAGTTTTATAAGTTCTATTTGAGATATCTTTAGTCAATATGAGACTAAATACCCCCTTGAAAAGTCTGCAATTAAGGCTCTTAGGGGTACCGCAATTAAGGCAGTTTCCAAATAATTACAATAAACCTATTAGTTGAAAATGCAGTTTATTATTAGAAGTTGCATATTTTATCATACAAGATACACCAGCAGTTTGCAAGCATAAGTGCATAACAGTTTCAGCAATAACAGTCCTCCAGGCAAGGAATAAGGGGAAATTCAGTCTTGAACACCAATGATGAATATGATAGAAATGTTGTATAAAGTTCACTTACAGGGTAATAATTTCCAGCTGCAGGTTGGTTTACTTCCAGGTCCCAGTCTGTTCTGTAGTCACGTATCTGCAGTGGGAGGTTCCATAGATTTAAGTTATGCCCAAAGAAAAAGAAAATGAATAAGCTTTGTAGATACTTTTATATGCCATCAACAAATTTATGACCAAATCAAAAAGAGAAGTTGTTTCCATTTCTTGACTTCCGTGAGAAATAAGTATCTTTTGACAAAAAGAAAAAGCATTTGGAAATAGAAAGATATTGGAATATCTTATAATATCAACATTATATCTTATAATATTTTAGAGTATCTAAGAACACATCAAGTTAATATCAATTCTAGCAATAAGACAGTTTTTTTTATTCTCTGCTGGCCCCCTGATATTGCCTCTCATAGACCCTTGTAATTAAGGGTTGTCTAGGACAATATCTTAATATTAATATTATATCTTAGAATACTTTATATCTTAAAACATTATATCCAGTCAATATCATTTCTATTGTATTCGGTCTTTAGTTTCTCCTTTCCCTCTCTCTACACCTTAAACCAGATAATTTCAACAAAAGATAATAAAGAAAGTTATGCAAAGTAGCATCTAGTGCGAACAATCATGGGTGATCTAAACTACTTAGATGCAGTATAGAGGAACTTAATCTAAGCTGCATACCCTTTTGATAAAATCACGCCCATTAGAATCTGTGTAAAATGTTTTGTTGGTTTCCATAGTAGTTGAAATCTGAGTGGAAACTTCTTTACCAATTCCATCTTCAATCGGTATAGGGCCAACCTGATATTCCAAATACCATGAGTTCAAATACGTTGCCAACATTCTGTACAAAAAATCCTTATAAAAATATATCTTAATATTTACCACAATACATACAATAAACACCAACAAAGGAAAATCAAACAGTCATAGACAGCTCATACCACAACTAGGAGAATGACACAAATTTAAATAGAAAAACAATTATTTAAAATCTTACAATAAACTCTACTTCAACATGCTCCTTTCCTTTGTACAGTCTGGTAATCTGCAGACATATTTTAAGCACATTAATTTCCAATATTAGATAATAAGTAGATAAAAAAGTCTTATTCCTCATTATTTATCATTATGGAAAAAGACATAGGAGCTGGGACATATACAAACTGGAGTTAAACAGATACTGATAATAGGGTCAGTCCCACTTTGCTAGTCCTCATTCATGAAGTGAGACCTACTTTACTTTTCTAAGCATCTGGGAAGATGGGCAAGACTGCCGCCAGGCTATGTATGGCAACAACATTCGATTATTATTTTGAAAAAAAGGATACTGTAAAATAATCATCAGGATGATACTAGTGCACCTCCCTAAAGCTTTGTTTACTCTTTTTGTTTACTTCTAGTAAAAGAACATTGAAGTAATTCACATGATATAGAAGGCCAAGAACTCATCCATCTAAAATAAAAATTATAAAGTAAAGCAATAATTATCATTTAGAGGGCAAACTGTACTAAGATTGACAATATTCAAGAAGGTACATTTAATTCATTTCTTCCCTTTTACATGACACATTTTATTCATTTCATTATGTGATGACAATTTCATCTTGCTAAATAGGAAAGAAGTTTATTAACAAGAAAGTAATAAGATGGTGCTGTTAAAGAGGTAACAAGCAAAACACCTGGTGTATCCATGGATTAATTTGTTGATGCACTTCATCTAGTACCGGTCCATGCAAAACAGTCAATGGAACCTGCTAATTCAAGTGAAAGTTGTTATGACTTATGAGAACTTGTTTGTTGAGATTATTCTCAAATTTAGAGTAGAATAATTTTTCTTCTTATTATTCACACCGTCTTCACCTTGGGCTTTCTTGATTCTTCGAAACCACACTTCGATCCGAAATCCTAACCTAAGATAACGTTCCTCAATGGAGCTTCTTTCTCGTTGATCCCTTTCCAATCCCATAGTTTTGGGGAGGCGTAATCTTTTCGTTTTTCTCTTTTACTTTCTTTTTCACAATTTTGGAACTTCTTTATTTTCTTTACTCTCTAGTTTGGACGCAAGCCTTTTCATGAACCATTTTTTTTTTCTTAATTTCATTTTTCTTGTTTGTTACTTGTATCTGTTTTGGTTGTGCTATTTTTTTTTGATCGGTTGGAGTTTTGAAAATAAGAAGACTGAGGCGCTGTGTTAACGGTTTAGTGTGTTGTTGAAGCAATAGAGAATTGTGGTTTATTGGCTGCCCAATTGATCTCTGAAATCACGCATCTCTCTCTTGATCTCGGCATGGAGTCGAAAAACCTTGGGAGGTTTACGTTGGGGAAGCAGTCGTCACTGGCACCGAAACGCCGCAACGAGGAAGCGGAGCTTCAGAATGAGGGAGACGCCGTTGACCAAAGCGTGAGGTTGATGTATTCGGCATTTGAAGGCGATGTGGATGGTATTCACGAGGTGTTGGAGTCTGGGGTTAGTGTCAATTTCAGGGATATTGATTATCGCACTACTCTTCATGTTGCCGTGTGTGAGGGATTCACTAAGGTCGTTGAGTTTTTGCTCCAGAAAGATGCCAAAGTTGACGCCAAGGATCGATGGGGAAGCACAGTAATAACTACACTTTTTTTTTTTAATTTTTGATTTGGTTTAGTATCGCAAGTGATTGTGAATTTGTGATTTGATGTTTGGCTATTGGCATGTTTTGGTTGTGTTGTTAATTCCGGTTTCGTGTGTGACAAAATGGCAGGGCTTCTTGAGTTTTAAGGCAAGGTTTTTCAATTTCTTTTCAGTTCTACAACTTTAGCCTTCAGAGCACCTTTTTTAACTTCTCTTACTGAAGAATAAGTTCCAAGTTTTTTATTAGTTTCATTATTTTAAAAAAATTATTTTATTGTTTGAGCTTGAGAATTCTATCATACATTCTTTTGTCTAAGAAAGTTGTGTTTTCACATAGATGATTAGGCGCTTTATAAAATTTATAATATTATTTTTTCCATGGTTAAAGTATTAGCTAAATAGTTCTTCAGGAGACTTGAGAGGGTGATGCAAAAATTAAAGCCTTGTTTGCAATTGTTTAGAAGAGTGGAAAAAATATGTTTATGCCTTTTAAGGAACATAGTTGTGAGAGAGAAATAGGGAGCCCACAAGAATGAAAGATCAACCACAATGAAATGAGGGCTAATATATCCAGGCCGGGTCCAAAACTAAGCCTGAAGGTTAGATGTAGAACATTATTTCATAGGGGATAGTCACCCAAGTAATCAAGTGATCTAACTGTCATTATTTAGGCCTTAAAAGGAATTTTTTTTAAGTAGTTAACTAGTTAGGTAGCTATAAATTGAAGCAGAGAAAAATGTAAAGGAAATCAGTTAACTGGTTGCAAGAAAGGGTCACAAGAAAAACAATTAATATGTGCCTCTATAAAAACAAATGACGGTAAAAGTAAACTCATTTTCTGTTTTGAAGTTGTTTGCTATGCCATATAGTGTGTCTTAACTCTGTTTAGAAATGTTTTCCTCAAGTTTGTTTTCAATTTTCACTCATTTTCTGTTTTGAAGTTGTTTGCTATGCCATATAGTGTCTTAACTCTGTTTAGAAATGTTTTCCTCAAGTCTGTTTTCAATTTTCCTTTCTTTCCATTCTATAGATTTTCTGTTGGAGAGCTTGAAGTTCTATCTTGAGTTGAGACAAATTTCTATTGTATAAAATTAGGTTTGTATTGTACAAAATTCTTAAAACTACCAGGCTTGGCTGATTGTTCAAATACCTTGTGTTGATATGCTTCTTCAAGAGTTAGGGCTTGATAAAAAGAGTTTGTTCTTTGGTAAAAGGTAAAACAAATTGAGTGCTTGAATGCAGCTTATCTCTTGGTAAAATGTAATAGCAAGTCTTTGCAAAATTGATTTTATTCAAAATTAAATTTAAAGGAATGTGATTTATTTTTTTGACCTTTTATTTAAAAGGAAGTTAGTAGGAAAATTTAGTATAATATTTTTATCGAAAACAAAAGCTACCTAAAGTTCCTTCAACTCAAAATCAATTTATCGACCTGAAATCAAATATATGAGTTTTGTTTGAAATCTTGTTTTGTATTTCAATGGAGAATTGCACATGCATCTACTTACTGGGATTTCTCTGCCTATTCTCTCTGAATTAAGATGTCCCACTCAAGCTAAGAATATGTCTAGAACATTCCTTTGAAGACTTGGACAATCCTCTTCCCTCAAGCTAGTATTGGATCACTTGAAAATGTTCACTCCTACAAATAGCGTATACTAGATGTGTAGTTCTAGGTGGAAGATGTGTTTGTTAAAATGCCCTACATTGGCCAGGAATATGGCTAGACTACTCCTTATCGCAATTTGTCAATCATCTTCCCTTGAGTTGGCTTTTTGGGAGTGAGTTACCACCAGATTTCCTTCTTAATTTTTTTTTATCAATATTATTTCTTAGATATTAATAGCCATCTACTAGTTTTTTCTTGCTTTTTAAAGGATAGGAATTTGGTCCGCCAAAAATTTGAACCAAACAATAATTGATAGAGCTGTGAAGGGAGATGAGATGGAACGCATGAAGGGTGAGGCTAATCCAGCCCTGAGTTAATTTAAATCTTGCAGTCTATTTATGCTTAAAACTTCTATTATAATTATATTGTTTCGGCATTTGTGAAACTTGTGATGTGAAAAGAATGATCATAAAAATATATAGTATGAGTTGAAATAGCCTGTGGCTACAAATAGAAATCCAAAAATGATTGCAAGAAATGTATATTTGTTGAAGCATGTATTTGACAAGCTAAGTCAATGATGATGGATGTATGGTTGAAGGTATAAGGTTTAAGGTTGTGGCTGAAATATTTTTTGACTTTTGAGTGGTATCCTATTTCACAGTGGTCAATCATTGTTACATATATACATATACACACACATACACACATATATAAACATATATTATATTATGCTTGGAAGAGGAGTGGGCTTACTAGGCTGCAAGTGTATGAAAGCCAAAGGAGGAATAAGGGGTAGAATATGTTGAGAGAAATTTGTGAATAAAAACCAGGCTAGCTGGTATACTTGGAGTGAAAAAAAGAATAGAATTCTTGTATAACACCAATATGCAAGGAAGAGGAAAGATAAAGTGATGGAGCGAGAGGAGGGAGAGAGTGGCACTTGAGGTTTAAGGAGAGGTTTGGATGAGGGTTCTGCATACCTGCTGTATCTATGTGCATGTTTTTTGTTCTACAGTTTTCTTTTTAGGATTTTACCTCTATTGAAAGGAGCTAGACTCCAAATTTTCTTAGTCAATCTAATTCTTGTTTATGTCTTTTGATTGCATACCCCCACTTCCTTTAGTGGTTCAGGATAAGTATTTTGAGTCTAGAAAACATAGCACCAAAAGCATTATTAAGAGGGTGAGGTGATAAAATATTTTTATGCAAAAAATGGTTTTCTTTAAGAATTGGTTACATGAGATGAGTATTAATTTAAAGTTATTCATAAAGTTGCAATTGTATAGGAAAGACAAATGGCTTTTAGAAAGAGTCCTTAGAATAATAAGAAACCTTTATCATATTTTAGTACTGTTTTGATTGAGAATTGGTTAATACATCTAAAGTTTATTTGAATTTAGATAGGAATCTACTTTAAGCATAATATAAAGTAACTTTAAACTAAAATCCATAATAGCTTGGAATTGTTATTTAAGGAAGTTTTAAAACACTAAAATAAATTGACAAGTTTTTCTTTCTTTCTCTCTATCTTTATTTGAGGATGTTTGGATACAAGCTTAGAAGAGTTTTTGTAAGCTTCTCTACTGAAAAGTTTTCAGTTTGACGAAATTAATCAAAGAAATAAAAATGTGAAACAGAGTGAAAGATAAACATGCAAGAAAATAATGTTAGAAGAAAGAAAAAACAAAGGCCTCAGCAGGGAACCCGTTCATGCGAAGCATAACCCATGGCCTAGAAACTATATATATCAGAAAGAATTTTAAACCTCTTTTTCATGGTTTATGGGATATGTGCCATTTGGACGGAAGACATAGGCTCCAGAATTCTGCAAGGGAAATTAAATTGCAGAGTTATATCACAGTTGGATGCTAAGAGACTTAAAAAGTGAAAACATACCGGAGGATAAATATGTTTTTAGGCCTTCCAAAGAAGTTCGTGTTCATTTTCAGTTCCTAAAAAAATTCATCTATTTTTTGTCCCATGTTTGTGGAAATGTGTATAAGAGAAACAGTTCTCAGAAGAAAATATTATTGATAATGAATTTGATAATGATACAAGAGAGGTGTATCTGCATATATACCTAACTGACTTAACTAACTCAAGAGTTAGTAAGTCAGTTAGACTAACTAACTAACCTAAAGATATAAGCTGAAATACAATCAGAAAATATATTTGAAATACACGGAAATAAGGCAACAAAATAAAAGTATTTATTATTCTATTCTTTTCTCTAATACACCCCCCACAAGCTCAAGGGGGATGAAGCAAAGTGGATTGATCAACAACATTGAGCTTGGAGCGAAGAAGAAGAAACCGCTTGGGAGATAGAGCCTTGGTCAGAACATCTGCAAACTGATGTTGGGCAGGTATATGTGACACAACAAGAGACTTGTTGAGCACTTTTTCACGAACAAAGAAGATATCAATCTCCATATGCTTGGATCTTGCATGTAAAACAGGGTTGTGCGAGAGTGCAACAGTGCTTTGATTGTCACAGAGTACAGTAGGAGTGTTTAGAGAAACTTTTAATTCCTTCAGTAGTGACTGAATCCATAAAACTCCAGTTACAGCTTGAGCTAAGGCTCTGTATTCAGCTTCAGTGCTGGATCTGGCAACGAGTAGTTGTTTCTTGGACCACCAAGACACAAGATTAGGACCAAGATAGATGCATGCTGCTGAAGTGGATCTTCTGTCATTTGGATCAGACGCCCAATCAGCATCAGTGAAAGCAGTAAGATTGAAGGGAGCAGTGTGCTTAGCAGGCGAGAAGACAAGTCTATGATTGACAGTGCCTTTAAGGTAGCGAAGAATACGTTTGACAACTTTCCAATGTTCTTCCATGGGAGAACACATGAACTGACTTACCTTGTTGACACTGAAGGCAATTTCAGGCCGCGTGATTGTGGCATACTGTAGTGCACCAACTATGGACCTGTACAGTGTAGGGTCATCAAATAGAGTACCATCTTTAGCAAGCTGTTGGCCACCAATCATAGGAGTGGAGATGCCTTTTGCATCTTCCATTTTGACCTTAGTGAGAAGATCAGTGATATATTTATCTTGGGAGAGTAGCAACTTTCCGTGAGGAAGAGACTTAACTTCAATGCCTCAGAAGTAGTCCAGAGTGCCAAGATCTTTAAGAGAAAAGATAGCATTGAGTTGAGTGACAAATTTTTGTAGCAAGGAGGGGGAGTTGCCAGTGAGAATGATATCGTCAACATAGACAAGCATAAAAACAGTGGCATTGGAGGTGGAGAAAGTGAAGAGGCTAGGGTCACACTTGCTTTTGCTGAATCCAAGCATGAGCAGTACAGACGTGAGTTTGTCAAACCAAGCGCGAGGAGCCTGTTTGAGACCATAGAGAGATTTGTGTAATTTATAGACAAGACTTTTATTTGCAGAGTCAACAAAGCCTGGAGGTTGAGACATATAGATGTCCTCCTCAAGCATGCCATTGAGAAAGGCATTGTTAATATCAAGCTGTCGAAGAGGCCACTGAAAGGAGACAGCAAGACAAAGAACAATGCAAATTGTGACAGGTTTGACAACAGGGGAAAAAGTTTCAGAAAAATCCAAACCGGGTTGTTGATGGAAGCCTTTTGCAACTAGCCGAGCTTTGTATTATTTATTGAGCCATCAGGGTTCTCCTTTACACGAAAAACCCATTTGCAGCCAATGGGTATTCGGCCAAGAGGGAGAGTGGTTAACGTCCAGGTGTGGTTGTTATGAAGGGCTGTGATTTCAGTTTGCATGGCAGCAAGCCAATGAGAGTCAGCTAGAGCAGTTTTGACTGTCTTGGGCACAACATGAGACAAAAAAAGTGTGGGGTTGAGTCTAGGTTGGACAATACCATTTTTGGAACGTGTGGTCATGGGATGAAAGTTAAGGGGTCTGGCTGGTTCAGAAATTGAACCAGAGGCAGCAGAGATGTTGGGTGACGAATTGAATGAGGAGGGTTGAGAATCAACAGACGCAGACTGAGAATGTAAGAAATTAGGATCTGAGGAAGTAGAGATCTCAAGTGGGCTAGATTGAGAGGGGGAATTGATAAGGGATGGAATGTTGGACACAGGTGGCTGGAGTATGCGAGGCAGATTTGGAGACAAAAAGATCCTGGTAGGGAAATCTGTTTTCATTAAGTACTACATCTTTGCTGATGTAGATGCGACCAGACTTACTTAGGCATTTATAGCCTTTATGAGTAGGAGAATAGCCCAAGAAGAGACATTCCTCGGACCGAGGTTGGATCTTATGCTGATTATAGGGTCTAAGTATCGGAAAACAGGAGCAGCCAAAAATTTTGAGGAATTGGTAATCAGGTTCTTTGTGGTGAATAAGTTGGTAGGGTGACTGATGACCAATAAAGGAGGAAGGGAGCCTGTTTATGAGATAAACAGCAGTCAGAAAGGCATGATCCCAGAATTTGAGTGGCAATGAAGCATGATGAAGCATAGCTAGACCCAGTTCAACGATATGCCGATGGCGCCTTTCAACCATGCCATTTTGATGATGAGTGTATGGACAAGTAAGGCGATGAATGATGCCTTCTTGATGTAAAAATGGGATTAAGGGACGAAATTCACCCCCACCATCAGTTTGAACAGCCTTGAGTGGAGCTTGAAACTGTTTTTCAGCAAGTGCCTTGAAGTTGAGAAAATGGGAGAGAACATCTGACTTTCGGTGAAGAAGATAAATCCATACATATCTAGTGCAAGCATCAACACACGTCAAAAAATACAAGTAACCACAACTGGAATCTAATGATGCAGGTCCCCAGACATCAAGGAAAACAAGTTCAAGCGGTTTAGAATAAACAGTAGTGGAGGTTTTAGAAGGAAGTTTATGAGATTTAGCCACACAACATGAATCACAAAAGTTGGACATTTTATTAACGTGAGGAATGCGAATGTTACACAATTGTAGAGCTTTGATTAGTGCATCATGATGGGGATGCCCTAATCGTAAATGCCATTGTTTGTAAGTATTGGAAACAACATTATTACACTGTTCCGAAACAAATACACAAGGTGCAGAATTAAGAAAAGTAAGTTGCTTGAGATTGTCGTCAGAGTTGGAATTAGGCTTTGCAAAAACTGGATGAAAATGATAGAGACCATCTTCACCAAGCTTGCCCTCAAGAAGAGTCTCGTTCAAATCCTGTGATTTGACAAAGCAGGAAGGAGGGTAGAAAACAAAATAAACATTGTTATCTTTGGCAAATTTAGAGACACTAATCAGATTTTTTGTCAAAGTAGGGACAAGTAAGAGATTTTTAAGACAGAACAGTGGAAGGTTTAAGTGGGGACCGAAACATATTAGAACCAATTGCAGTAATAGAGGTACCTTGACCATTGGCCATGGCAATATGCTCAGTTCCAGTAAACTGAGCACTTTGAAGCAGATGTTGAGGATGTGGCTTGATGAGACGCACCAGAGTCAGGGATTCAGGCTGTGGCAGTATTCAGAGTTGGCGCAGCTCTTGGAGCAGAGGAGGAAGCACCAGAATAGCCTTGTTGAGTAGGAAGGATAAAGCCAGGTGGTGGTATATAGGAAGTAGACCCAAAGGGGCCGCCCATGGTGTAGGGAGGCAGCGAGGCTTGACTAGAGAAACCAAGCATGTTTGTGGTGCCAAACTGTGGAGCAGCACCAGAACGAGGAGGATAAGCAGGACTGGAGTCAAATGTAGGATAAGGAGCAAGCATTGGAGTGAACCTCTGATAACACGTGGAGGCTTCATGACCACGTTTGTGACAAATTTGGCATTGAACTTGAGAACCACGATTTCTACCACCACGACGACCGCGACCAGTTTCTCTGGCCTGAGTAGGGAAATTCTGGAACGTGTTAGTTTGGGGATGAGACAGCTGAGTTTGTTGGAAGGCTGGATTGGCATTGTGGGGCACTTGAGGAATAGGAACGGATTGTGCAAGGTTAATTGTGGCAGGTTCTTGAAGGATAGCAGTTTTTGCCTGGTCAAGTCGAGCTTCTTGAGCAAGAATGACATTCTCAAGTTCTGTAGGAGAGAAGGTGTCATCCCTGCTAGCAAAGGCAGTGACAGCAGAAATTAACGAGTCATATTCAGGAGGAAGGCCACCAATGATACATTCAGCATGCTCACGGGAAGAAACAGGGCTACCAATTGAAGCAAGCATTTCAATGATGGTACTGATGCGAAGGAGATATTCAGAGCATGATCGGGTGCCTTTCTTGATTGTGCGAAGTTCAAGACGCAGTTGAGCAGCCTTAACTTTGGTGAGCGAGTGAAAATGCTAAAAGACAACGTCCCAAATCTGATAGGAGTGCCGACAAGAACCAACGCGAGCCTGAATGGACTCGGAAAGAGTCGAGAGTAGCCAAGAAAAAAGTAAAGAGTCTTTGCAGTCCCAGACAGTATACTCAGGGTTGATGGTATTGGAGTCATGATCCTCAGCGGTTAAGAACTTGAGTGGAATTTTTGGATTGACAACAAAACGTTTGAGATCATGAGCGCGAATCACAGCAGTGACCTGTTGTTGCCAGGTCATGAAATTTCAGTCATCCAATTTGCACGTGACAGACTGAGAGAAGGTGTGCGAAACGGGATGATCAGAGAGCGAAGCGGAAGAAGCCATTGGATCAGTGTAGGTAAGGGTTGGCACACCAGCAAGGGCGCAAGAATCGCGCAAGAAACAGCAAAAGAATGAGACGCGAAGAATGCGCAAGAACAGCAAGGAAGAGACTCGTCAATTGTGCGAGCAGCAGCAGGGGAATTGCGCGCGAGAAAGATCGCGAGAGCAGCAACAAGGGATTTGCGCGCAAGAACACAAGCAACAGTGAACGTGGGCGGCGCGAGTGTCAAGGAAGAGGCGCGCCAATTGCGCGAGCAGCAGCAGGTGAATTGCGCGCAAGAACACAAGCAACAATGAGTGAGGGCAGCGCGAGTGTGAAACGCGACGGAAGTATGGGCGGAGAAACAGAAACGAACCGTGCTCACGATGATACCATATAAGAGAAACAGTTCTCAGAAGAAAATATTATTGATAATGAATTTGATAATGATACAAGAGAGGTGTATCTGCATATATACCTAACTGACTTAACTAACTCAAGAGTTAGTAAGTCAGTTAGACTAACTAACTAACCTAAAGATATAAGCTGAAATACAATCAGAAAATATATTTGAAATACACGGAAATAAGGCAACAAAATAAAAGTATTTATTATTCTATTCTTTTCTCTAATAATGTGTCATGTGTGGTCCTTATTTAGATAAATTAGGAACCAAAAGGAGATGACTTTTCGTGAAGAACTCTACGTGACATATCTAAAAACAAGAGACCAGAAGGAGACAATTTTTTTAGGAACTAAACTTGAATATTTCTATATTTATAGGAATTAAAAACGTATTTAACCCACATATTGGTATCTACAGTAAAAATATCCACCTGTGGATCTTTTTGATTCGTTCCATTGTATCCAGAATAGTAAAGGTAACTCAGTTCAACCTGTTCCTCGACCTTCCAAGTCAAAAATAACAGTGTTAATCAAGTTTTACTTCCTTCCTTTTCATTTTTCTATCCAACCATCTAAAAGTCAAAGCTAAAGAATATATTAAAACATGAAAAGAGAAAAGAGAACATCAGAAATACACAGGCATGATTATGTACATAAGAAAATTAAAAGGGAATCATGTGGTGCAAAGTGAGGCATCACAAACCAGGTTTCTTATATTAACATAATTGGTACACTTTTCTTGATCCGTAGAAAATGTAAGCTTCAAATTTCCTTGACCAACTTCAAATTTAGACTTTTCACTACTTTTATATGTATCTACTGATGATCTAGTGGACCCTGAAAACAAGCAGAAATCATTTATATGATATGAGCAAGAAAAACAAATAAGCTCTTGTAAAATAAATACTAAACTAAAGCTGTCTATATTTGAACCTGATCTTTTGGCAGTTGAGACAGTGTAGGTGCTAAAACCAAGTGGTGGTACAGAAACTGTAAATGCAAGCCAATACTTGGGTCTCTTGGGTGGAGTTTGTCCCAAATATGCCTTCACGTAATAGTTTCTCAAGTCTGCATATACCTCAGCCTGAGGAAGAAGTTGAGATTCTATTTCTATACCATTTGAGTCATGAACTGTAACACTGGAGTCAATAACCTGAAGACGTTGACAACACCAAAAGACATATTACTCACAAGTCACGTCTCTAAATATATGTGAGGACAAACACAGAGTAAGCACTATCATAGTTAAATAGATCATAAATTACTAGCCTGTCTTTGCAAATACTACTTATATTTCAGTAGATTTTAAGTAAAGAGTACCAATGCCTAATAATCTTTAACATCATATTGAAGACACACTAGTAGTTCATGAATGAAGACCACTGAAAGAATCAAAAAGATAAAGGTAATGATAATTTTCAATATATTAGTTTCAAATGCTCTCAGAGCCACCACATATTAATTTACAACTATCAAGAAATACTAGAGTGACATCACTCACTGGAATCCGAATCACTTCATTTCTCCTCCAACCAAGAGAGTTGTAAACCACAATAACCTAAGTATAGGAAAAGCTTGTGAGAAAATATAATTTAAAAATTAATTATAAAACAATAACACTTAAGAAAAGGAGAAGAAAATATGTGATGAAATAAATATTTTTACCAAATTCTTTCCTGGAACTAGATCAACTTCTGATGCAGGACAGTAACTTATGTTCAAAAGTGGACACTGTAAAATACCAAAAAAAAAATATTGCAAATATCAAAATACTCAACAGATTGAACTTGTATATGATAATAAGAAATGACCAGTTTCTAAATTAAATGCTAGTGTTACAACATTCTTTATATACCTTCAGGACATACGGGTTTGGAAACTATCATATCTAAGCTCTAATCATTATAATCTTTTAGAAAGAGAGCTTGATAGAGAAGGAACACATAAAGCTCTAATGTTGTTATATAATTGGACTACATCAAAAGAAATTATTTTTGTTGTGCTAGTTATGCCATCTTTTGAAGTTTTGCTTTCTTGCAGGAAGGTGATGGCTTGTGTCACTGTTCAGTAGGTGATTCCACTTTTAGTTTAGCTGCCCCTTAGCTTTTTCATCTGTCTACCTTGAACAACTCTCTAATCCTAGACTTTTAGTTTTCAAGATTCTATGTTTCTAGGGATTTCCACTTTTTTGTTACAGAATCCTTCGAATTGGAGGTTTTTTTGAGTTCCCTTCATTATGTTCATTTGTCCTTCAATCCAAATAATAAAAAAAAATTTGTCTTGATCCTTCTAGGGTGATTTCTTGCAAATCATATTTTCAATTCCTAACTCACTCATTGAATTGAGAAAATCTCCAACTTAATAAAACCTTAAGAAACCTAAAGCACCTTTAAAGGTTAAGGCCCAGTTTGAATAAACTCCTCAACAAGCTCTTACAAGAGAAGAAAATAAGGAGGTAAAATGAATTAAAAATTCAAAATTTTCTCACATGTTAAAATCAACTTACGCTCCTCAATTTTTTTAGAAACTCTCTTACCTAATTTCTCCAATTGATCAAGTTACCACCTTGTTTTCTCTTTCTATAAGTACCTGTTAAAAAGTTTATCCAGATTAGGCCTAATTCTTTTATTTGGACAGATGTGCTTGAAAGAATGGATGCCAAATTGCCAATGTGTTAGGAAACCTCCTATTAATAAGGTCTATATTATGAAATGGCAGAGGGATGAATTGAATGATTAATGTAACAGATTGCATATGCAGCAAGCAAGGGAAATTGTGTGATTATATAAGGAAATAATTGGTTGGTTTATGTAAGCCAATAAAAGGGAATCAAGGGAGAACTTGACCCATGTAGCTATATGAAAAGAGGTAGGGAGAAGGAAAAAAGGGAGGAAGATAATAGAAGTTAGCAAGGGAGAGTGCAGGGTCTTTCAAACACCCTGTGTTACTTTCATTTCTATAATTCTCCTGATCAGGTACTGCCATCTATTGGCATCAGAATTAATTGAAGAATAAAACAGAAAACTTCCCCCAGTTAAGGGCGTTTTAATCCAGTTTCTAACACAAGCTACAAATGCACAGGCCATACAAGGCAATTTCTCTTGTAAGCTCAGAATTTGTTCTTTTCTTCACTTCTTGCATTGTTCTACTGCTATTGCTTTGTGGAATTCTGTTGTAATTAGAGGAAAATCTTCCTAATTAGAGAAAATATCTGTAGAATCTTCTAGTTTATTTTTCAAAATATTTTTTTCCTTATTTCCTTATTTTGGAAGTTTAGATTGTTACAAATAGGTGTTAGGAAAATATAATACGTATGAATGATAATAATAAAATCATTCTTCTTTTCAAGTTGGTATCAAGCTTCCGATCTTGGGAGCTTCGTTTCTTCTGCAACAGTAGCCATTGCCGCCGCTGTCCGGCCACTGCGGCTGCCACCGTAGCCGTTGGGGTCGTTGATAGGGCAGAAAGGTGCGCCCAACCCCGGCGAACACAATGCCGGAATTCGATTCGAGAAATACGCCGCCACGTGCCGCCACCGTTGCCGGCGCGTGTAGCTCACGCGCCTAGCTTCGGCGAGACCCACTCGCTGCCGCCATCACAGAAAGAGTCGCCGGAGCCTCCTGAGTCCATTCCACAGGTCGGTGACGTCCCATTTGGCCCAGATTTGAGTAGATCTGAGTTTTGAGTTTTGCTCCTTTTCCGGTGACGTCCCACGCGCCTAGCTTCGGCGAGACCCACTCGCCGCCACTGTCACAGAACCGGTCGCCAGAGCCTCCTAAGTCCGTTCCACGGGTCGGTGACATCCCATTTGGCCTAGATTCTAGTAGATCTGAGTTTTTTGAGTTTTTTCTCCTTTTCCGGTGTAGCCCACTCATCGTTGTCGCTACAGACAGAGTCATCAAATCAATCCATTATGTCACCACCATCAGATTTTTGAGATGACAGCTTTTAAAGAGGAACTAGATCGTTTGAAAGCAATGATTGAATCAATAAGTAAGCCCTCTGGACAATGTACTCTGTCCATGAAAGGTAAGAGTTCTCTCCATACTGTGGGTCCTGTGTCTCAAGGTATTTGGATTCTTGATTCAGGAGCAACTGATCATATGAAACCTTTTCGTATGATCCTCAAATCATATATTAAAAGGAACAGAGAACAACTTATTACAGTTGCGAATGGTCAAAGTGTACCCATATGCGGCTCTGGGAATATACAGTGTGTTTGTTTTATTGTTAAAATTTCTCAAACGTACGTTGAACGGAAAAGATAGAAATAGTTGTTTTGTATTTTGGTGCTTTGGAAAGTGTGTTTTTACGTTTTCGTTAAAAAGACTGTTTTCCAAACACGCGGATAATTTTGGAATCATCTATTGTATTAAAGGATGTTTTACATGTTCCACAATTAGCCAATAATCTTGTCTCTGTGCAAAAGCTCAAAAGATTTAAATTGTTCAGTAACATTTTTCTCGACTCATTGTGTTTTTCAGGACCTTGCTACGGGGAAGATGATTTTAACTGCTAAAGAGCAGAGTGAGTTGTATCTATTGGAATTTGATGACCAAAACAAAACAAAAATTATGAGTCAACAAGCTACATTTGAGACGTGGGCAAATTCCCAAATATGGCTACATCATAAAAGGCTTGGGCATCCTTTATTCAACCTTCTCAAGTCCTTATTTCCTCATTTGTTTACTAAGGAGTCTGTTGAGTCTTTTAATTGTGATATTTGTCAATTGTCAAAACACCATCGTGCATCCTATCCTATTAGTAATAAAAAGAGTACTTCTCCATTTGATTTAATTCACTCTTATGTTTGGGAACCTGTCGTAGAATCTATTTTCGGAGCCAAATGGTTCGTTTCCTTTATTGACGATTGTACACGTGTCACATGGACATACCTTATGAAAAATAAATCAGAAGTTTTCCAAATCTTTGTTAATTTTTTCCATCTGGTCCAAAATCAATTTGGAAAAAATATAAAAAGAATCAGGTCTGATACACCTCTCAACAAAACGGGGTTGCAGAAAGAAAGAATCCCCATCTTCTAGAAGTAACTAGAGCTCTTCTTTTTCAAATGTCTGTTCCAAAAAATTAATGGGGAGAAGCTGTGTTAACTGCCACATATCTCATCAACAGGTTACCCACCCGTATCTTAAATGGCATTAGTCCTATAGAGTCTCTATTGTCTTTTGTTCCCTCTTGTCCCCTAATATCGAGTCTAACTAGTCGAGTCTTTGGATGTACTATTTTTGTTCACTCTCATCATCCTAATCGTAGTAAATTAGATCTCAAAGCTCTTAAATGTGTCTTTATTGGGTATCCTTCTAATAAAAAAGGATACAAATGTTATTATCCTCAGAGTCATCGCGTCTTTATCACCATGGATGTCACCTTTCATGAAACACAATCCTTTTATGCCAGTCCACCACTTCAGGAGGAGAAAACACTTGAAATGGAGGACCTCTCCTTCTTGTCATTACCATATTTGTCTTTGCAGGATGCCCAAGATCTGAGCAATGAAGCTACCATGGTCCACAACGAGGAAGCAGAAGAAGAGGAAGAAGACAAATTTTTTGGCAAAAAATATGAAAAAAGAAAACAACCCACTTTGACTTTCGAGCAAGAAAAATTGTCTAATCCAGAGGTGAGGATCCCTGAAGATAACAGTGAAGAGGTAAGTATTACTGAGGATTTACCCATTGCATTGAGAAATGAAAGAAGGTCATGCGCTAAATATCCTATTTCTCGATATGTTTGCAACAATCTCTCTGATAAGCACAGAAGTTTTATTGCTGCCATTGGTGCCACATAAATTCCTACCTCAATCCAGGAGGCCATGAAACTTGAACATTGGACTCAAGCCATGAAAGAAGAGATGAATGCATTAGAAAGAAATTCAAATTGGGAGATTGTTGATAAGTCAAGAGACAAGAAGGCAGTAGGATGTAGATGGATATTCACAGTGAAACATAAGGAAGATGGGACAATAGAAAGATATAAAGCTAGATTGGTGGCAAAAGGCTATACTCAAACTTATGGGATTGACTATGAGGAGACATTTTCCCCAGTGGTAAAGACGAATACAGTTCGAGTTGTTCTCGCTTTGGCTGCTCATTTTGGTTGGGACTTACACCAGTTGGATGTGAAGAATGCCTTTCTTCATGGAAATCTAGAAGAGGAAGTGTACATGGAGATTCCCCCAAGTTTTGAAGTGCAAAATGAAAGAAACAAGCTATGTCTCCTAAAGAAAACATTGTATGGTCTTAAGCAATCCCCTAGAGCATGGTTTGGAAGATTTACAAAAGCAATGGTTTCCTTGGGATACAGACAAAGCCAAGGAGATCATACTCTATTCATAAAGCACTCTTCTACAGTTAAACTCACTTTATTGCTTGTCTATGTGGATGATATGATTATTGTAGGAGATGATGAAACAGAAAAATTGGCATTAAAAGAAAAATTGGCAGCCCAATTTGAAATGAAAGACCTAGGAAAACTCAAGTATTTTCTTGGAATAGAGGTTGCTTATTCCAAGAATGGAATTTTCATCTCCCAAAGGAAATATGTACTTGATCTCCTCAAAGAAACAGGGAAGCTGGGATGTAGAACCTCAACAGTTCCTATAGAGCAAAATCACATAATTGGAAGTGAAGAAAGTGCTCCTGTAAAGAAGGCCCAATATCAGAGATTAGTTGAAAAATTGATTTATCTATCACACACAAGACCAGACATTGCTTATGCAGTTAGTGTAGTGAGCTAATTTATGCATGATCCAAGAGAGAGACACATGCAAGCAGTTGACAAAATTCTCCAATACTTGAAGTCAAGTCCAGGAAAGGGGCTATTGTTCAAAAGGGAAGATACATTGACTATGAAAATATATACAGATGCTGACTATGCAGGTTCTATTACTGACAGAAAATTTACTTCTGGGTATTGTGTGTTTCTTGAATATAGTCTGGTAACGTGGAGGAGCAAAAAGCAAGATAGGGTATCTTGTTCTAGTGCAGAAGCTGAATTCCGAGCCCTTGCTCAAGGAATGTGTGAAGGACTCTGGATGAAAATCATTTTGGATGTCCTTAAAGTCAAGGTGGACAACCCCGTGCAACTATACTGTGACAATAAGTCTGCCATGAGCATTGCCCATAATCCAGTACAACATGATAGGACCAAACACATTGAGATTGACAGACATTTCATCAAAGATAATCTAGACAGAGGCTTTGTAATAACAACTCATGTTCCTACAGAACTTCAGATAGCAGATATTTTTACAAAAGAGCTCCCTCAGGGTAGATTTCAAGATCTTGTAGGCAAGTTGGGAATGATTGATATTCATTTACCAACTTGAGGGGGAGTGTTGTAATTAGAGGAAAATCTTCCTAATTAGAGAAAAATCTGTAGAATCTTCTAGTTTATTTTTCAGAATATTTTTTTTCCTTATTTCCTTATTTTGGAATATTAGATTATTACAAATAGGTATTAGAAAAATATAATACGTATGAATGATAATAATAAAATCATTCTCCTTTTCAAGTAATTCTGTCTAGTTTTGGAGAATATTTGGCATGTCCCAAGTCCTCATACCAATTCTTACAGATCAGTTTTACTGGTTTTGGAAGAAGTAAACAAGCCGAAGTTTTGTGGCAATGTGCAAAATGACTACTCTAGAATTTGAACTTAGAGCCTAACTAAACCTGATAAAACCAATTTGCAAGGTGAGAATGGTCCAAGGCTTATAAGGACTACGATGGTCATATCTTTAATCGATGTGATATATCAACACCTTCAGAGCCAACATCCCAATAGCTGCACTTGATGATACTTTACTCAACCCTTCTAGTCAACCCCTCTATAGGTAACCATTTTCAAGACACTGACAAGCAAATCTGATAGGTCACAATTAATGCTGGCTAGGGGTTATCACAATTAAGGAAACTTTTAACTACAACTGAGTGGAGCTAAAGTCTCGCATTTTTTAGGAATATGCCACAATTAACGCAACTTTCCAGCAACTCTGATAGGCCACAATTAGGGCTGGCTACTGATTCTTTTGGGATAATTTTAGGTGTTTGGCTTCCACAAAATGTAAAGCACGTGCCTTTTTCAAAGGGGAAACCCTCTTATAGAAGTGTTGAGGAACTGGGTAGCTTTACTGCATTGATGTCTTTTATTCCTTGATGTTTACTTTCTTTCCTCTTTTTAAGGAGGATTTCTTAACCTCCTTTCCCTTTGTCTCGATATGTTTCTTCTTATATCAAAAAATAATTATTATTGTTAGAAAATCTCCCTCATAAGTCGACATGCTTTATGAATGAAGTATGATAACATATTTTTTAAGTATCAATAACATATGCAAACATTATAGCACAATGAATACTTGAGAAACAAAGATATTTATATGTAGTGAAGATGAAGAAAGGAATAAAATCCATAAAAGATAAATAAATAAAAAGTTTGCCATGATATACTCTAAATAGTTATTTCCTGCCAAGCTAAGGAATAATAAATGATAAGAAATAATTTATCAACAACTACAAGTAATGAGAAGCAGTTTTAAGACAAGGTAGATGCAAGTCATTTCAGCAAGTAGTGAAAATAGTGCACAAACTTAAAAAGATTCAAGATCTTTTACTTGCTGAAACTTTGTAACTGGGTTTTGACATCTAGTAAGTGACGGTGACTCAACCAAGCAAGCCAGAGATGATGAAACCAAATCCTCTGCCTGCACAAAGGCAATATGCACAAGATGATACGCTAACAAATGGTTATACACAATTACTTTAAGACAGATAAGCTGAAACTACACCTCCTTGTAGCCAATTGACAATCGTTTAGAATAATCATTGGCCACGTGTTGCTTTTCTGTGCCAGTGACTGCATCATGGTGTTGAGCAATTGCTAAGGCATCAGCTAATGAGTCCGTATTTGGCCCCGAATTCATTCTCCCCCTAAAAACTTCTAGTTGCCTTGCAGCCTAATAATTTATTGGTTAAAGGTAAAATATCCAAACACCAGTGGACCAAATCCATTGATTACCTTATAAACTACAAAATGCAAATCATACCAAATAATAGCCACTCATTAATCTGACATAGCGTTTGATAGCTGGCCTACTGGTAAAGTATCCTGTCCAGTAAGCATTTGCACGGTCTGCATATCTGGTATTTTTTTAAAGCATGAGGTAAAACATTTTACACGGAGAAAAAGACCAAGAATTAGGCAAACAGATTATGCAACAACTAAATATTAAACTCACGGGAAGAAATCATCAGTCTTGATTGGCCAAGACACATTTGTAGCATATTTTGCATCAGTATATATGGATGGTGTAGAATACAGAGCATTGACACGTCCATCCTAAAGTTGTCCATCAAACAAACTTTTAACAATAACAAAGTTCATAATAACGCCAAGAAGTCAAATCATGAGTCAAAGAACAATCAAATTAACTCATGTATGTGAGAAAGTTACCTTGTTTACATAATGAATAAGCTTGTCCAGCTGTCGGAACCATGTATGTGCATATTGATACTTAAAATCAGTTCCCATCGTCCACATAATGTGATTTGTTCGAGTTATATTCGCCTGAAAATGAAACAATGTAGGGTAACGATTCAGATGAGATCCTGCATAAAAGCTGTTAAAGTTCCCTCTAATTCAAAGTCAATAGTATAATTAAAGTTCTCATTCAAGTTTCAAACTAAGAACATGAGTGTGGTAGAGATGAGATTGTCATTAAAAAAGGTAGGAAACATCTTTTGAAAACAACAATTATAAGAAAAGCTAACAGATGATTACATGCTAATATTATAATCCAACACTGCACTGGGCAACTAATTGGAATAAATTGCAGTGTATAACATAAATCACTAGATAGTTTGAAGCAAACATTATCCACTATATAAAGATGATACCCTCAAAAGAACTGCAACAAAGAAGCCTAGATACATAATACGATACGAAATGGATATGGAGAATTTTTAAAAATCAAGATATGACAGGGTCAATATACGTTAACAAAAATTTGTGTATATGTAACATAAATGCACATTATTTGTAAATAGACATTCACATTACTAATTGCTAATTAATATATAAACATATCAATAGTCTAAATGATGAAAACAATTTATTAATAAAAAAGGGAAGATATTTGTGGTCATAACAAGTAGGCATAGTTACATATCCTTCTCCCCCCCAACTCCCCATATCAGAAAATATTTTTTTAATATGAACATGCCACAGAAAATATACAATTGCCTTGCCCAAATTAAAATATCATAAAAAACATCATCAGTCCTGTCCAAAAGTTCTGGCTCTATAGAATAATAAAATCATCGGAAGATCAAATCTAAGAATGACAAGCCCTAGCTTGTTGTTTAGAAGAGAGAAGCTCCCTTTAAACAATAAACATTATCAGTTCCTGGGCCGGTCCAAGCACGAGGCCAATAAGGCCCTTGCTTTAGACCCTCTTCAAAAAAAAAATATTTTGCATTAATATATATATATATATATATATATATATATATA